GAAGCATCAATCAACCTTCTTTCTGATGCGCTGATTGCTCTAGCGATGCGTTTCAATAACTTTTCGCAAGCGTTTTGGAAGAGTATACATTGTGAATATTTTGTAGTTCGGCGTTATGGAACATTATACATACTTTGTACGTATGCAAAGTAATTGACGTCTTGGAAGACAGCCAGAATGTGTGCAGAGCTATGAAAATCAGTATAAGAGAGACCCCATTATTAAAAGTATGACACATATTTAATACCATGAACTAAACCGTTTGTGCTCTACTAGCCTTCGCCTTGGGATCAGCTCGCCAGGTATTCTCTTCTAACGTTATCCTTTGCAATGTAACAGAAATGGAAATAAATAGCGCCACTGCACCAACGCATTTTCCACTTTATTGATGTGGTGGTATAACATGTCATGTGTAAAATGACGTTGAGCAATACCACCAGCTCCGTCAGAATTGGGAAAGACCTCTCCGAGCCGTTCGCCGCAAAACGGGGTTTCAGACAGGGGACACCCTTTCATGTGACTTCTTTAATCTGATGTTGGAGAAGATAATAAGAGCTGCAGAACTGAACCGCTCAGGAACAATTTACTACAAGAGCGTGCAATTGCTGGCTTATGCCGATGACATCGACATCATCGGTAACAAAAACCGCGAAGTCTGTTCTGCCTTTTCCAAGTTGGATAGGGAAGCAAAGCGAATGGGTCTGGTGGTAAACGAGGACAAGACGAAGTATCTCCTGTCATCAAACAAACAGTCAGCACATTCGCGCCTTGGCACTCACGTCACTGTTGACAGTTACAATTTCGAGAAAGTAGAGAATTTCGTTTACTTGGGAACCAGCATTAACACCGATAATAATGTCAGCATTGAAATCCAACGTAGAATCACTCTTGCCAACAAGTGCTACTTTGGACTGAGTAGGCAATTCAGGAGTAAAGTCCTCTCTCGACGTACGAAAACCACGCTCTATAAGTCACTCATCATGCCCGTGCTGGTATATGGCGCAGAAGCATGGACAATGACAACATCCGATGAGGCGGCTCTTGGAGTATTCGAGAGAAAGATTTTGCGGAAGATTTACGGGCCTTTACGCGTTGGCGACGGCGAGTACCGCAGACGATGGAACGATGAGCTGTATGAGCTTTACAACGACATAATGCAGCGAATTAAAATACAGCGGCTCCGCTGGCTTGGCCATGTCGTTCGAATGGACACCGACGCTCCAGCTCTGAAAGTATTCAACTCGGAACCCGCTGGTGGTAGCAGAAGAAGAGGGAGGCCCCCACTGCGATGGAAAGATCAGGTGGAGAAGAACTTGGCTTCACTTGGCGTCAGTTGGCACAGAGGGGAAACGACTGTCGTGCTTTGCTGAACTCGGCCAAAATCGCTTAGGCGGTTACAGCGCCAAAAAAGAAGAAGAAGGTATAACATGTTCCGTATTTTAGCCGTTCAACTTTACTAATGGCCGGCTTTTGTGAATTTTTTTTGGTTGAAGCCGTTTCGCATTTTTTTCCAAAGCAGGTATGTCTGTTCGAAACTTTTTTATTTTTTTTTTATTACTAAAGTTGAATGGGCTATAAAATTGTACTCCCGAAAATTTGTAATTAAAAAAATTTGTACAGATGAAATTTTTTCAATTATCGCCAGTTTTGCACGAAGTCTGAAACTTTCATTTATATGGTTTATGTTTTTGAGTGAACCCAAGGCATAACAAGGTAGAAGTGATTTCGACATTCACACAATTCAAAATTTTAATGTTTTAATTTCAATTTTTAATTTTGAGCTGTGCGACTGATTTTAAATACATACATACAAAAATAAAATGAAAAGGTATTACGAGCGGTGCGCTCTGTGTGGCAAGAGCCAGGACAACAAAATTGTGCGTTATTTTAAACCTCCTCAAATGCTCCGCGAACACCATGATACAATTTCTTTCCACTAAATTTACCGCTTTAGATCACCATTTACTGCTATAAATTCGACGTTCTGGTTCTTAACATCCCTTTTCCTTTTTTCATAATGCCATGTGAAAAGAGTCGTGTTTTTATTTTTCATACATAGCTGGATTTATCATACGGAAATTAAGCATTACTGAATATAAAGAGAAAATCTCCCACTCATATACATGGATAGACCAAATTTGAAATGGTGGTATGATAAAACCTGAACCAGAATTCGTTGTGGACATAAAGAAACTGCAAGTAATTTTTAATAAATTTAATGGAAAAGAAATTTCGCATTGCAAAAATTTAATAGCTGAATTATTGAAGTTAAGTTCCGATGTAAATTTAGAAGAAAGAATCAAACAAAATTTTTTTAAATGTCGAATATACTCTAGAATTAAGTATTTGAATAAAAAAATAAATGCTCAAAAACATTGGGCTAATAAAAACAAGAAAATTGCCAAAACGGTTTTATAAATAATTGTGTTTCATTTAGTGTGTAATATTGAGTAAGTATGCATTTCCACATTTACATACATTAAACGAAAATACGAAAACTAAAATGAAGCCGATTTTAATGTGATTTTAAATATTTTCATATTTACAAAAACTTTCGTTTCATAGATATTGAATTTTATCAAATATGGTGCATGCATAACAAAGGGTTAATTTCTTTGTTTACGTTTTTTGACATTACAGTCAGGTATGAGAGAGCTGGACTGAATTGTCACTTCTACCTTGTTGAATATGCCTTGAGTGAACCATATTTATATATATAAATAAATAATATTCCAAAAAATCTGATAAACCTGAAAATATCAACATCTGAGTGCTGTATCTAATCATTTGCCGGGGAACTGTACATATCACTAATTTGCTGCAACAAATTTCATAGCTGTATCGCGTAACAATACCTTATTAAAAGAAAATTGCGGTATTCACAACGGTGTCGTAAGTTTCGTATTGTTGAGTAAAGTGTAACGTTTAAAGCCGTTTTTTTCGATTTTTTGGTTTTATTTTTTGACACTCTTGCAACCAACGGCTCAGGAAAAAGAAATTGGGCTTCGGCCGGTATCTATTTGCATCAAAATCAGTCCAGACGTTTCAACGAGAAGTATCTAACGTACAAAGCCATTTACTCATAAACTAGCCTAGTATTTGGTCGACCTTCGACTTTAGGTCTTGAACGTGTCACACAATTGAGGGGACCTACAGGTAACATCGTCTCCGAAAGACAGCTGGGTTTTTATGAAAAGTTCTTTCATGGCAAAAATACACTTGCAGATTTTCCACTTAAATATCACGCCAGGGTCATACCGAGTGGTAGCACGCACCACAAATCAAACCAGCTGTGCCTATCTTCGTTTTTGAGATTACACAAATAGATGCATGTTTGAAAAAAAAAATGCAACGGCTTTACGAAAGTTCTTAGGGTGGGTATGCTACTATATAAATGACAGCACTCACCTTCCTCATCACCATCATCGTTTCCGTTAACCTCATCATCATCATCGCCCTCAGAGGGTGCTTCGACATCATTCGCATCAAAGCTGAAATAATTAACAGTTTTAAACATATCTAGTAACATTAACCATAATAATCCCATTATCCTAACTTACCCATCGAGAAATTTCAGAGATTTCAGCATTTCAAAGATTTTTTCACGGTAGTTCTCAATTTGCGTTGCTTCATTATTGAACAAGTCCAAAACGGCGAGATGTTTGAATTCTTCCAGTGGTTTCAATGTTTCCAGATCCTTAATTTTATTGCCCGACAGGTTGAGATATTGTAATTTGGGACTTGTTGTCAAGTAGTTGAGGCCGTTTGATATTCTAAAGACAAATAATGGTTTTCATTTAAATTATCTTTTACTAATTATTGCATTAATATAAAATTACCTGTTGTCTGAAAGCTCGAGTTTCTTCAGATTGGGCAACTTGGGGAAACCTTTTAATGTGGTTAAACCAACATTAATTAAACTCAATGATTCGAGCGCAGTGTACTCATCTGTAAGGCCAACAATACTTGTACTCCGGCAATTATCCAGATTCAATTCTGTGATCTACAATAGTTCAAAATAATTTAAGGATTAGCTTGATACTTGATGCAATAAAAATGGTAATTTAGAAGTTACAACCGCCATATAATCGGTGTATACGTATGTAGAATTCAAGATCTTTTGAAGGCCCTAATTGCATAGGAATGTTTATTTTTCTTAAATATTTCAAGATTTAAAAAAAAAAAGTTTGTATTGTATATACACAAATATTCTCCAACGTTTGATGAACCCTTTATTCACAAGTTGAGTCACCATCTGCGATATTTGAGGAATATTTGAGAAATTTTTAACAACTATGGCAGCGCTTATATTTTATTTGCAAAAGTGTTGATCTGGTGAAAAATATGTTCAAGATATTAGCTTTGTTTCTTTGCTTTTCTAGCAGATAATTATAAGGACGATTAAGGATGGAATAAATGACACCCTCCGAGAGCGAAATATAGAAATAGTTACAATGTACTAGCAGCAATTAGCAGGAGGCCAAAAAAGAAAAGCGTAATAACGAGAGAGAGCTCCTGGTTTCTAATAAATTTTTGGTTTAAGAAACGCCGTTGTTTTTCCTTTCAGGAAACTTTAACAAATCTCAAAAAAAAATGTCGTCAAATTTTTCAACTTACAAATGTACAAATCGTGTGATCCCTGCTTAAGGAACATACTATAAGCGAAAGCTTCATACCTACATATCGCAAAAGAATTAATTGAAACATTAAATTTTGTGGGAAACAGCAATCTAATTTTGATCAATTCATATCATTTTTGGGAAATTTACACCCCTAATGCGAATGTCGACTGGCAGTATATCAACGGCTATTAGTTATTTGAATTTTTTGAATTATGACACTATTGAAGTAAATGAGCGATATGTACATATGTAACATACATATGTCGGCGACGAAAAAGCACCAACATAAAATAGTAAATAGAGACGCGCACTGTTATTTACAGCAGTGTTTCCGTTCCTTCCTGGCGTTTCACAAACATTTCTATTGAAACGGAAGGGAATGCTGACGTTTCTTCCACACAGCGTTGCATTGAGCCAGCCAACGAAAAATTTATTTGAGAAACAAATGGAATGACGAAAGTGATGATTTTCGCCAATTCAGCTCCAACTAGCCCCAATACAGCGGGCGCAACAAAGATGAAACTAGTTGCATTCGAGCAAGCGTTCATAAATGATCGACCGACCGCATATAGTGCGTCGCGTTGTGAGTGTGTGAACGCAAAAAAAAAAAAAGAAGCAGGGAAAACGATACGAAAATACAAAGGAGAAAAATCGATATGTCAAGAAACTGGTTGAAAGTTTCTTGGAATAATTAAACAATTGTACGAAATGTGTGATGATGTCCTTTAGGCTTAATACACCGATAAATGCGCAAGAACTTGCAATGCCTGTTTGCATAAGGTAACAACAAAGGTGGCTAATGCTTTGGTAATAGATAGGAGCGTTTATGTAATTCGAGACAGGTGTCAACAAAACACAAGATGGCAGCGAATATGGGGTACACGGCGAATTGCGTAGATGAGCGAGAATGGACGAAATCGTGAGATACATACAGAACGGAAAGCAAGCAAAACGGAACTATTCAAAATCAAGAAATGACAAGCAAGGGCGATACAACAATAACAACGCTAATCAAATGTTAAACGTGCAACAGACGGTGGCGGGTCGTCACTTCTTATAATACACAAAATTATACATACATACGTACCTATTTGCACATATTGCCTACATATTTGCTGCTACATTTCACCCAAAGCAAATTCTACCACCAGTAGCTATGCTATGAATTAAGAATTAGCGAAGCTAAGCCGCCTGCTGGTTTGCCGTCACTTTCTCCACATTGAGGTAGATAAGTAATACGGTTTTGCTTGGAAAGTTCAGTCGTTTTGATGAACAAATATCAGCATTTGCATAAATGCGACACCCTTAGCTAGTAATCGAAGGAAGCTTTATTGAGGCACAAGGGGCCCACGAGAATGCTGGTAAAAAAACTTCCCGCACATATGTAGCGAAATTGACATTGATCATTGAGCTTCATGCCTTATAGTTCCATTTGTCAAGAGCATTGGAAACGCAAATTAGTAGTAGTAGTATGTACATATGCACCCAGCAAACACAGTCTCTCTTAATGTTAGGGAAACATTGTATTTTAGTAGAATTCTAATAAAGTCTCTAATATATCTCGAATCGAAAATCCACTATTTTGTAGCCTATTTCCACCAACGGCTTAACTGCAGTTAACAGCTCAGATAAGTTCCACGAATTTTAACATTGGGTGATCGGTAAGGTTAATCTCTTACTTTTTGCTCCTTTACCCCCTTAGAGTGGTAATCTCCTTATTCCAGTAGGCATAAAATGCAGTTATGGCTTGGTGGAAATGAGAATGAGTGTAAATACACCAACTATAATTCATCGTTGGAAAACGATTGGCTATCTAAACTTTTCCTCTATATGGAGAACAAAGTCCCTTTTTGTAGAGAATGCTATTATTGACAGTTTCTCTAATCGCCTTCTAATCATCTATCTTGGAGAAACACTTTAGAATTCGAATCGTTTTCTAACCAAAATGTTTGTTGGGTAGTAAGTATGTATGTATGTTATGTCGGACTTTCCGGTTGTAACGAACCTTTGCACATACATTCCTCTGTATTTAGCTACACAATTAATTTGGTTTGGGGAAAAACACGAATGAAAAATATGAGCCAAATGCACTGAGGCTAACTTAGATTCGATATATTGCATTCAAAATTACACATCGCTACCTTAATTCACAAAGGCCCTAACCAAAACTTTTTTTCGAAACTGCGTTTTTCACAGATTTTGGTAGGAGTTATTAAAGTACACATTCAATACAATTTTTAAGGCTGCGTTTTTGCGTATTTGGAAAGCCCGTATTTACGGTCCGATTGGTTTCTTATTTAGAAAGCATATTACTTAAATAGAAATAAATAACTCCACAAACAATTTAGCCGTTAGATGCAGCGTGGTAGATTTTTTTTATTTGTCGCTAATAAAAGCTTGCGTTAAAAAATTGTTGGTTAGGGCCTTGGTAAATTAAGGTAACGATATGTATATACATTAGGGCGGGTAGATTTTTTTTATTTAAAATCGTATAGCAAAAACGTAAACTACATAAAATTCTAAGAAAATTCTCTGAAGAAACCTTTTACTAAAATAAAATCCTAATAAGCGCCTCTCGACTTGAAAATTTATATGGCCGCCTTTGCCAAAAAAATAAATGTTAGAAAAAATAGGTTTTTCAAAAAGAAATCGAATTTTCTGAATAAAATTGTTTAGTAAGGTAGTTCTTTTGCACTTTATATTTTTTCTACTCAAAATTTTTTTTCATAAAAAAAATATTCACCCAAGTACGCAAATCAAAGGAGATGCAAATTGGGGTTCAACTGCTTTTTTGATAATTGAATATTTTGATTAGTCTCAAAACAAAACCTGTATTGCATAAACTATAATAAATATAATAAAACATAATATATTTCAAAAAAAAAAAAGAAAATAATTTTAGCGAAAGAGGAAAAAAATTTTCAAGTCGAGAGGCGCGGATTAGGGTTTGATTTTAGACCCATGGTTTCTTCAGAGAATTTTCTTAGATTTTTATTTTATTTTTTTCATCCATACAAATCAACCCGCCCTAATATACATACATATAGTATGTACATAGAAGTTTCTCCCGAATTCTCCACTAAACGTTGCAAGTTAATATCCCAGCAATGCGCTTTTGTCACAAATACAGCCCTGATTGATACTAATTTTATTTTCATTGATCTATGAGTACAGGAACTTAGCCTGTTACCGTTCCCAGAGCTGCATTCGGTTAGATTTATGACTTTAGACGCCAAAAGTAAGTTGATGCGATGGTGACAGGACATCAGAAGGGTTCTAGGTTTTTTTTTGTTTTAAATCTGTAGGTCTATAGCAAGGTGTATGAAACAAGGTGGTGTTAGCCGTATATAAGTGAAAAATTACACTAACAAATTATACGCAGATATCCATACTGTCATTGGTATAAGTTACAACAAACACATCATTTTGACGTAATGCTCTCCACGGCGAAAAACTCAGCTGTCGCCCCAACAATTTGCAATTTGAAAAGGCCCCTCCTTCAAGCGGCCTTCTGGATTACGTCCTACAAATCCTTCTGCCTCTTGACTCTCCGGAAGCCTACTGGAAGGGCTTACAGCTCCTGAAATCATCTGCTGAGAAGTTTGAGCAATAAAATTAAAAAAGCAGTAAAACTATCGTACAATATTTGCTGTAAAATTTTTCATTTGCCTTGCAGTACCCCATACCTGCTGCAGTCCAGAGCAGAGATAGGCGGGGAACTGACGGTACTAATTTTGAAATTGCTGTGATGGACGGTATCGGGAAGATGTTTAAAATTAAACTATAAAAAAAAATAATTCCGAAAAACCTTGAACGTAGAATATTCGAGAAACATATTCAAGTATATTATCATCCGACTTCAAAAAAGGAGGAGGCTATAAATTCGTGGGAATATTTTGTTAAAATAAATATCAAAGCCATATGAATTTTCTTTAATAAAAGATATCGCGACCCACGTGACCCAGATGAAAATCGTCGGGATGGGAGGGTTCCGCACCTAAAAAGTATTTTGCCATATGTCAGCTAGGCCCTAAGTTTAAAATGAGGAGAATGCGAATTTTAGAGAAGGACTTCGCGTCACTTGGCATTTTTTTACCTCGCTTATATTAGCTTGTTTTGACTTTGTCTAATGCTTTTCTTCTTCTTCTTATTTGGCGCTGTAATCACCTAAGAAATTTTGCCGAGTTCAACAAAGCACACCAGTCGTTTCATTTCTGTGCCAACCGACGCCAATTGGTTAAGAAGAAATCTATTCGCTGAGACGTGCCTTTAGCAACTGGTATGGTTTTAAAAAAATCTCAAGGGAATTTCGTGCAGTTTGCCAGCTTTTACACTACATACATAAATGATCATGAATGCTGTTATCGCTACTAACATCTCATTAAAAAAAAAATATGGTATACTGTTGGCTTAGGGCCGTTTTCACCATGTCTAGTTAATTCTAACTCCCAGTTAAACATCTTTATCGACGTTATCGATACCCATCATATAACATGTGATCGATAAAGCAGTGGATGTGCTTAACTGAAGGATGTACCTCCAGTTAGCGTTAACTAGACATGGTGCAAACGGCCCTTAGAGCGAAAAGTTGCTAAGGCTACTTTTTGTGAAAACTCATATTTTGGCATAAGACACAGGTGAAATTAAAAATGCTTAGTTTCCAAAATGATTAAGATATGTACTGGTTTTATTTGTCCGGTGAAAGGCGAATTTGTTAAGTCCAATAGAGGAAAAGAAAATTCGATAGGGTCAAAACAATAGGTATGGAGTCTTTTACTTAACACCAACTCCTGATTTTTTTGGAGTTTTGCTACATTTTCAGCACGCAAAATGTTATATTAAAAAAGTTGTAAAATACTTTTGAAAATGGACTTCGCAACTTTTCACTCTAAGTCTACGATATGCCATGCAGTGTTGCCAGAGAAAGTCCCCTAAAAATCTTAATTTTTTCCAAAAAAAAATTTCAAAATAAGATTTTAAAGCTAAAAAAAAATCTTTTCGATCCTTTTTTATTTTATATAAATTGGGAGCGAGATTTTGCAAGTTTTGACCGACTTCAAAAAAAGGAGGAGGTTATCAATTCGGGTGAATATTTTTTTTATGTACATATTCATGTTACCGAATAACTTTGGACCGCGTGAACCGATTTCGATAATTCGTTTTTATCAAGGGTGGCCCCTTACTAATTTGGTTTAGATCC